ATTGCCTTAATGCGCGTTCCTTTTATGAAAGAGGAGGCGCCAAATGTTTACATACTTTTGAGGGAGGCGTAGTAACTTCAAGGTTGGAAACCACTGCAATAATGTATCCATTTCAAAAATGGGCTGCCCGGTAGGAAAGGAAATCAGAAATTTTATATTAATTATATAATTGATAATAATAGATTTGTCGGCTGGGACAAATTTATAAAACAAAGAAACAATTGTTCAACAGTTGTAAATAATTGTTTCGCAAGAAGTTAAACGAACTAAAATAAACGAACCAAAAACATGAAAACAGAAACAAAGTAATGGAAAGTTTGGTAAATCGCCTGAGACTGTTTAATTTCGTTACAAAAATGTGTGGGGTTTAGCCTGCGGCCAAATTTAATAGATTCATACTCTTTATGCCCGGGCTTAATTCAAACAAACCGAACGAAAAATAATGTATCGCCGTAAATTTACTTTTGCTCCTTGTCTCGCTCCATTCGCAATTATAATTTGTTACTCACATATAGACAAGGAAAAAAAAAATCTATTATGTTATTAAATTCAGACTTTCCAAGGGATTTGCCAAAAGGCAATCTCTTTAAATAATTATTTTTTATTCTATTTCGAAATTATTTACTTCTCAATGATTCTACTTTGTATTGTATTTGTATTGCCAACACACACGCCGTTAAGTAACGTGATCAAATTGTTCTTTCATAACAAACTTCCTATCATAACAACAATTTTTTCAAACTGTTTTTTCAAAATTTAATTAAATTTATGTAAAATATTATAGTTACAAATTGTTATTATTGATAAATAAATTTGGGATTATCTAGTAAATTGAATATGAATTGCGTTTGATACTTGTATGGTGTATTTACTATATTAACGGGAACAATGGTTGGATACGTGCAAGTATTTGTGATTTGGAAATACTGGGAATAGCACGGCGTTCGGTGAAAGGGACATTTCGAATCGGTGATTATTATTTATTTACGTCGAAGTTGCGAGAGCATCTGAATCGGGCGAAACGAAACGTCATCGAACGGTCGGAACGGGACGACATTGTCCAAACTAAAAACAATGCGATCCGACAACGGTTTTCAAGTTGCACACAATGAACAACTTTCAGTTTGTGGATCAGTTTGACCCGAATATGGGACGCACGCATACAATTCATGTAACTAGTTTTACGAAAATGAAAATCACAGTTTCATTCCGAAGCGCAAAACTTCGTTAGCGAAGCACACACAAACGGAAGAGTACAAGTTGAAGGGTAGTAACAACAACAAGACCAACAACATACTAAAAAATATATATATATAGACACACGCCCCAAATCGATAGACACGTTTATTTCTGTTGGCGAACTTTCCGAACGCACGAACTTCTTGTTATTTTTTTTACGTATAGTCTTGTACTGTCTTCTATGTAAATCGATGGACACAACCACTGAAGATTCATCCTTCTGACCCCTATTTTTCAGGTACGTTAAAAGGTATTAAAGACTTAATTACTAAAGCTTCAACTTTGTGGCACAAATCTTTTTAGCAGACAAAAAGTACTTATTACATATTTTATTTTTACTTATTAAATAACTGTTATTAGGCTTTAAATTTACAATGATTTGTTATACAAATATATTTTAGCATCCCTTTGAATTATTCGTTACTCCAAAGGAACACCACCACTATTTCAACTTGATAAGCAGATTGCGAGTGAAATGCGACTTAAAGTTCCTTATAATTATTTCTCGAGGCAACTTCAAACAAGAATTCGGTTTCGTTTCAGCAATGGTTTTCATAATATTTGGCTACGAATCCGAATTTTTTTTTTGCTGAAAAACTTCATCAACTTGAAACAAAGCTACAAGAGAATATTTGAAACTTTCATAGATGTAAATCTGTATTTGTTATAAAATTCAAATTGTAAAAGTCATCAATTCAAATGCATTATCAACATAATATCATTGTTGAAAAGCAAAAACGACATTAAAACAAAATAAATTTATGGATAAAGTTTTATAACCTGTTGTGGTCCAATTAGCATATGATTGAATTGAAAAGCGGATTGTTATGTATACAGTTAATGAATTAATTTATTAATTAAATTAATTTATATGATATTAAACAGAACGGACATGAAGAATTGAGCATATTTGATATTTGCTGTTATTATTGTTTATACACCGTTGCTATTTTCAATTATAACGATTTCGAAATTACACAAATAAATACACTCTGAAGCTCAATGTACATATACTCTATTATGATAATATTAGCATTTAAAGCAAGATTTAATGTAACAAATTATTGTAATGTTCCTATGCGTTGCATTACACATAAAGTTTGTAAACTATACATTTGTTGTTAGAAGGAAATAATTTAAAATTGAATTTTTAATTAAAACTCAGTTTTGTGGATCGGATGGAAGTATGTGTAGCATGGAAGCAATGCTAAAGATAAGTTCAAAGTTTGATGAATGTCACCTTTAAGTCAGCCCTTTGCGATTTTAAACTTTTCTAATTAAAATTGAGATCGCCCAAAGTAAACCCACACACTTCGAACCTTATATCTCAAGAGCTCCAATCCTTCCTAGGATTGTTTCCTTGATACACCTGAAAATGAACGTAATAAGTTTATGCGCATCAGTAATTGTAGTTGAAACATCTCGTGATTATCACGCTGCGTAAATATCATAAAGTCTGTTTGCGTAAGAAGGCTATATAATTACACGTAAGCGATTACATAACGGAACTCAAGGGCATTGTGAGCACGTAAAGAATTATGACAGGAGTCGCTTTATGTAAAGGACGTTTTATTGATTCTGTTAATGAAGCTTTAATTGTATTTACACGTATTCGTGCTGTTTGCAAGTTGGTATTAAGTAGTTTGCGTTTTCGAATACCGACACAAAGACGACGAAGAAGGAAAGAAAGGCGAAGGATACACAACGGAATCTCCTCGGAGCTTTGATGTCGCCGAGCTGAAGAGTTTGCACAGCATCAATGGCGGATTGGGAAGTATAAGAATTGCATAATGCGCGGTGATAATAATAATAATAATCATCATCATCAACATAATTGCAATCTTGAATGGCCGCAAGGCTCTGAAGATGTTTTATTAATTAAGCGAATGCTTTGAGGTAGCACAATGGGAGTTGATACAACAAAAGCTGGCGAGTGAATGGAACTGGGCTGTGATATATTTATGGTCGGTTGCACAGAACATTTAACACTTGGTTAACTTAACTAATTCGAGTTCCACGTTCTTTCAGGGGGTTGACGTTTTGCCGATCCCTCATCAATATCTCAAGTCAGGTCCGCAAGTTGCGCCCGGGACGACCCGCTCCATGCAAATGTCTCCATCAACTCGATTACAAGGGATGGACAGGGCTAATGGCCAAACATACTAAAAAAAATTACTAGCTTTCCTCAAAAATTAACATTTGGGAAGAATTGCTACACCGCTACAAATCACCTACGACAAAGCATCGCGTGTCACGTAGGCATTTTCTGAAAAATTATATTTTTTGCAATATTACCTGTAATATAGCAACCATCCAAATTGCGACCATCTAAATCGTATCATCATTAGGGTCCGGCTCTAATTATGAATTCATTATTTCTTGGGGGTTGGAAAGTCGACTGGTGTTTTTGGTTGCGGATGGCGTCCATTTGGATTGGATTGGATCGGATCCGCTTCGAGTACACGTTGCGAGCCCATTGTTACAATCTAATTCCATGTAAACTGGATGCAGTTTGCCGAATAAATACTGAGCCGCTGTTTAATTAAAACATATACATACATATGCACAATGGGGGCGGCGGAGGCGGAGGCGGCGCCGAAATAACGAACACTCCACCATTCGCCGAAACCGGAAATCATATTAAATATCAGCGCGAATGAATATAAACAATAATGATTAAATTTTAGAGCCGCAGCACAAAAGTCCTAAATTGTGAATTGATGGCTCGTTCCGTTACGAATTTATGCCAAACAGTTTTGCTTAGTTCCGAGGAGTTCCCATCATCCATTGCAATTCTAAACAACATTGTAATTTCACAAATTTAAAAATAAAATATTTGGGTATATATCCAAAATTGTTCAGAAATTACTATGTATAGTTGAGTGTTAAAAAAATAATATTAATCAATCAACTGTGGAAATATGTATATCGCTAGGACATAGTTTGCATCAGTTTTGTAGTGGCATTACCATCAGAACCCAGTAGATTGCGCGCTTACTGAATATTTACACCTTATCATAAACCCATCGACGTTACGGAACTTCAAGGAATGCTATGGTAAACAGAATCAAAGTTGCAAAGTGTGCCGTGAAGTGTTGGAGTACACCGAATGCAGTGTTACCAAAGTAATTTTGTTCTGGAAAATTAATTTCCGTAATTTATGTAGATTGCTTCCAGCTAAGTACACATGCACGTGCAAAAAAAAATTAAAAATTAACATTG